CTTCTTCTTTTGCCCTCCATCGTTCCCAGCATGAGGCTCTTCTCCAGGGAGACCTTCCTTCTCATTAGGTGAGCAAAGTCTTTTGAGTTTCCTCTTCAGGATCTGGCCTTCTAAAGAGCAGTCAGGGTTGACTTCCTCTAGGACCGGTTGGATGGCCTTGCAGTCCAAGGGACTCAGTGCAGGAGTCTTCTCCAGCACCAGAGTTCAAAGGCCTCCATTCTTTGGGGTTCAACTTTTCCTATGGTCCAACTTTCACAGCCACCCATTGCAATTGGGGAAACCATAGTGGAAATGGTGTGGAAACCATTTGTGGAAATGGTGGTCCACAAAACTGAAGATGATACCAAAATGCACCAGAATAGAATGACCTTGTCAGCCTGGTTTGGAAACATTCCTTTATCCAAACTGCTGCCTGTTCTTGAGGGTCAGCAGTTCTTGAGACTTGAGTCTTCTCAGCTGACAAGGAAGTTTCAAGATCAAAATGCAGAGAAGTGACCTTGAGGCTTGGGAAATGTGCTGTACCATCCAGCTACAGCTTATTCCATGTGTTATATTAAGCCCTGACCCTGGGAGGAAAAAAAAAATACCTTCTTTCATAATTGTACTGCTGACTCAGAAAGGTAAATTTTACTGAGTTACAACCAATTTATTTGCCTGTCAATAACGCCCGTGACAGCAGCAGCTGCTGCTGTCAAATTCTAAACTACGTGAAGAACACCACAGTCAAATGTTGGTTCTTTTGACCTTACTTACTGATATCTGAATGCTTTAATTATAGGTTTCTCAAAATCCAAAAAAACGCCCGTAAAACTCAATACTTTTTTTAATGATCAATATTTTGTTCCAAAAACATACAACCTTATCAGCTAATAAGAGCTATTTTACAAACATACATACATCTGGATAATTAGAACAATAAATTCTTTTTTTTCCTTAGACATTCAAACATGATCAGTTAAAAATACAGGATATTTGATCTGTCTTATGGTGGCTGTCCTTTTGTTGGTTGGTTGGTTTTTGCACTTTCCTTTCCAAAGAGTATTTTCAGATTGTAGTCTTGTGTTTTTCTTTAAAAGCAGAATCTGTTAAAAGGAGTAAATGCATGGCAAGCAAATAAAATACAGTTCTAGCAGTTAGAGCATTACAACAAACAATTCCATTTTTTTTAAAAAAAAAAGAAAGAAGAGCAGAGTAACATTCCAGCTGCAGAATCCTTTTCCACAGCATCTGCCTATTAAGTTGGGGTGGGGGCGGGGGGTGTGGGGGATGAAAAGGGGATCAAGAGCAAGAAGGGACGGTCTTTGGAATGGAAGAGAGAGGGAGATGCAATTCACTCATCAAATGTACAACCGGCATTGAGATTCTAGATCAGTGTTTTTCAACCTTGGCAACTTGAAGATGTCTGGACTTCAACTCCCAGAATTCCCCAGCCAGCGTTCGCTGGCTGGGGAATTCTGGGAG